GCAGTTGTGTCTCTAGATTCCATGCAAATCCACTCATGGTCAAGCCATTAAAAATTTCATGACATGCAAAAAAATTGCTTTTTAGAATTTTCATCTGATTCTTCACATGATCCTTCACAAATGGGAAATCAAATTTTTCATCGAGTGTTTTTAAAACATTATTGAATGCAATGGTTGACCAAGTCCCATTTGGTCTATTTCCTTTCAATTGTTCATCCAACAATGCATCAAGTAAAACTTTATCCCAATGTTCTGTCCATGTCACATTATCCTTCTTGATGTCATCACTATTTTCATTTTTCTTTGATTTCTTTCTCATTGCTCAATCTGCTTGTCAACAAACCAGCAAAGTCATCCCATAAGACGATAAAATCCAAGAATGTCATAAAGAAATCAAGAACACAGCAAAAAAGTTCATGTCACACACACACACTGAGAGATAAGGAAGACATGGTACTATCAAAGTAGCAGCACCTGCCTTTTTTATAGGTGGTAACCATTAAATGACAAGATAACTGGTTACTGTATTCTTCCATGCATTATGTTCTTAGCCTACACAAAGTAGACTATGAGCTACAAGTTGTTCACGTTCTTATGGATCTTCTTTAGGTACATTAGGTATAAAATTCCAGCTCATATCATAAAGAACAGACACTTAAAACCACTATTAACAGAGATTTAATTTACTTAAGAGACCAATTATGTGGTCCCTAATTTTCTGTTGCTTTACAATGAAACGGAAGCAGAGATTTAATTTACTTAAGAGACCAACTGCTACTCAAATAAAACTAAAGCACTACCCCACAATTGTCTCCATACAAAGTGCCTAATGTCTGTATCCATACATCAAATTCCAAAACAAAGAAAGAAGGGAAAAACAACAAAGAAAAACAAGCTAATCCCAAAACAGAAAGAAAACACAACATCATCAAATTCATCCCATATGATAGTAAAACATCATAATCTATGAGAGATATAATCTTGCCACATGCTAGCTCCTATAAAATCCCTTATAATTGCACCATGCCTAGCATCATCATCATCATCATCATTACGTGCATTGGAAGACTCCTCTGCTTGCACCTCACTATTTGAAAGTTCATTATCAACCTCAGCAATCAATCTTTCATCAGGATCAACTCCCATGAGATAATTATGAAGGATACAACATGCTAGAGCAATTTTAGTTACCACATCAACAGGATAATTGGCTTCTACACCAGTTCCAATAATTGGAAATTGTTTTTTAAGCACTCCAAATGTTCTTTCAATTACATTACGAAGCAAAGAATGTCGATGGTTAAATAATTATTGGGGATTTTCTGGACCACGTGCGGAATATTCTTTCAAGTGATAGCGCACCTCTCTATATGGAGCAATAAGCCCGCTTCTTAACATGTAACCTCCATCTATGAGATAATATTTACCTAGAAAATAAGAAAGCATTTATTAAGGATTTTCATACATAGATTACATTTTTCAATATTATATTTTAGTAACACAAAATTACCTCTTGGAATAATGAGCTTATCTTCCCTAGTTAAAGCATTTTTTTAATATTCTTGAGTCAGATGCAGTCCCTTCCCATCCTGGTAATACATAAGTAAATTTCATGTCAAAGGAACATGCTGCCAAGACATTTTATGTTGGATAATTTTTCCTCCCTCGATATCTTGGTGCATCAACTTCAAGTACCTTGACACGAATATGCGTCCTGTCAATTGCACCCACACAGTCCTGAAATGTTTAAACTTTTTTAAACATCAATTCTATTGAGAGGTCTTCCCTAGGAAGGGGTAAAAAGGTCATGTTTACCTTAAAGTATGGATAAATCTATCATTGTTGAGTATCTGAAGAGGGACCACTGAACCGGTGGGTTGCTTTAGAAATATATCTTCTAAACTGATTATAGCTCTTAGAACTTCATGAAAGTGGCGACTTATAGTCTCGCCAAATCAATGGAAGATAAATTGCATTTCACGATTTGTTACATTATGTGCTAGTACATATAAAAAATTAGCCACTTGTTCCTCAACGAAGAGCATTCCTATTATCATTGAGACGTCTGGTCCTTCGAAGTAACTCGCATAACCTAGCAAAGGCATCAATCCCCATGCGTGTAATGTTACGACATTCTTCACTACTACTGAGTCGTGTCATGAGTTCTTGCCTTACAGTCTTTTTCTCTATTATTTGAGGCAATTGGTCTATCAATGTATTCTAAATGGCCAATAATCCTAATTAAAGCAAGAGCATGAACCACATAGCAAACAAGTTGAATGATTGTCATACGTCGTCTTCGTTCCCATGTTCCTTGTAGTCGCTTTACCCAATTGTTTTCCCCAATACCCTCCAAATTATCTTCCTCGGTACCTTCTCGAACTTCTTCCAAGCTCTTTTCCCACTCCATCTTGAAAATTAAAGCTGCTAATTTTTTTTTTTGGGTAAGTAAGAATATATACCATTAACCGAAAAATATATATCTAGAATATCACAAAACAAAATATCCCAATCAAAAGAGAAAGAAAATGAAAACAAAACAAAACGGATGAATGAATTGAAAACGAACATCAACATATGTAATGCCTTTTACATTTGAAAAACTTATTGAGATTGCTAATCCAACATTGTTATTAAATCCAAGTCAATCCAAATTCGTCTTTACATCTATTGCATAACACCCATTATATCCATGTCCTGCATCGTGAATTAATATAAGAAGCAGTCTAGCTAAACAATGTTGCTCCTTCAAGCCAAACAACTTTGGGTAAAAGCTATTTGAGAGAGATACAAAGAAATATAAAGAGGAAGGGAGGAGTTTGTATGTACTACATACTTAAAGACCTCTGTAAACTGAGTGCTAGAGAGTAACCTTAAGGCATCCTCTGTAAATTATGTGTCAAGGATAACCCCAGAAGTTTCGATACGCAATATGTGTCCAACACAAACAACTCCAATGTAAGTAGTCTCTTCTGTTAAGTTTTATTTCTACCGTAAACCACTGGTCTTAAGCATCTTATCTACATGTGTATCACCTCTTTCCCCTTCAAGACATCAACACAGTGAATTAATACATCCAATTCCTTCTTTGTCAATTTACCATATCTAATATACCTCTCACTTTAGTTGACTACTTACACCAAACACTCAACTCTTGCAGCAATCCATTTTTCTTGTCCATGAAATTTATCATGCTTTACATATAAATTGAAAACCAAACATCGGTAGATTACACAGAATATGGTAAAAATTGAAAAAAATTATTTTCGATTTAGCCATAAATTTATGATTTCAACAGTGAAAAAATTGATTCAAGCACACAAATACAAAGCTTACCTAACTTGATCGTTCGAGCAGATCACGCTCGACAATCATCGAATCGAAACTCGAACATATAGCCACAGATTTTAGAACTCAAAAAATTCAATCTATGGCAAGATATATTTGTGTAGATAGAGAATCACGCAATAAATTGAGGAAGATTACGAAGCTTACCTATGGTGATCGTCGACAGGAAGAAATCGACAAAGAAGATGAACATCGGCAAAGAGATCCCACCGAATTCTGGAATTTCAAGCTGCAATTTGGGTTTTTTCGTCTCCAATCTGATAAATGATAGGATGTTAGGTGTAGGTGTTTAATGTAAATAAGTAATTTGTTGAAGGTTAAAAAAGTAAATAACATATTTTGACTCAACATGAGTATCATTTTCTTACCTTTTCCGCCCAATTTTGAAGGGATTGATTTTAGTGAATTGGATGGAAAATTAATCCATCCACTTTTCCATCCTTCCTATTTTCCATCCTTACCAAACATGATGTTTTATCCATCCCTCCAACTTTCCATCCTTCCATTTTTCTATTGTACCAAACGGAGCATAAGAGAGGTCTTAAAGAAAAAAGAAGAGAACCTAAAGCTCTTAGATATATTAATGCACACCAAAAGAATAAAGTTGCCAAATGACAAACAATACATATATATACAAGCAAAATTTTTGCTTTCCATATAACCCGGGTAAAACTATGGACTCATTTTACTTGTGTTTAACTTAGCCGGCAAACACAAAATTTGAATAGCCAATCGGACCAAAGCTTCATTCCCGTCATGAATGAACACAACCTCTTTCCTAGTGCTCCAAAGAACCATTCAGATTCAGCACCTGCCACCACATGATTAACAAGCACCACCAAGTGGGAACCAATGTTGTGGCCACTTGGGATATGAGCGCTCATACAAACTCATGCATACAGTGTCATGCTGCTGGAGGACCCCATTAAGGACACACTTCATGGCCCCTGAAAAAAAATGGAAACAATAAAACTTTGATAAAAGAAAAAACAGCATCCCAAAACTTCTGCTCAGCAAAACAGTGAACCAAAAGCTTGAAAGTTAATTGACATCATTGAATAACTAAGATACACATTTTGAACAGTTATACAACCAAGGATTTCATGAGCAAGAGTGACATGTAAAAGGCAAAACGACAGACTGTTTTGCAAGTGATTGTTGCTGGCATTAACTGTGAACACAGTGGAAGGTCATTATGGAAGCAGGAAGCTGCACAACCATAACGAACCTTCCGTGGTATCTAAACTAGTACCTCACCACAAAACACCAGTAAAGAACACCCCCGTTCCACTTCCTTTTTCTTCTTCCCCTCCATCGCAGAATTGAAAATTGTGAATATTCAACGGCGAAGAGGTCACATTGCACTTCAGAGGCGGGACCTCTTTCTTTGTCCCCAAATGATGCTTACTAAATGACGAACAATCTATTTGTCATATGCCTTTCCAACAGAATCACGTGACATGTTTAAAGACCTATTCTAGTTGTGGCACCATGATATAGTTCACATGTTTTCATTACCCAAGTACACAAAACCGCATAGATACTGCAAATAAATACAAAATCCACAACATGGTCAAAATCAGATGCTGGCCAAACATAAATATTGCATCATATTAACCCAAAAACTTGTTTCCAGGGACAAAGAAAGCACCCTATTCGGTTTGCAAAGATATAAGCAACATACCATGTGTACCAACAGGTTCCTTAATGCGACCACGGCGTCTGCATTTCGTCCAGATTTCCACCGGCTGCAACAAACACCGAACACAAAAATTAGTAAAACTCCACTCATGATAAATGTCAGCAATTCTATGGCAAGACATATTACCACCATGAGTCTGCAACAAAACTGAAGAAACACGACGTTTTCATGACGAAGTTTTCTTACCTTGAACCATTTCACATCTTCTGGATTATGAAACATATATTTTACTGAGGCTTTCAATTTTGAAACTCGTTGAGGTAACTGCATAATAAGAGGTTTTATTTTATCAAATCAAGCCAGAACTTCTAGTAAAATGTCATATTCTGTTTATTGTTTAGCATGACTCTGAAATCTGAAAGTAGAAATGAATATAGAGCATTTGCAATCAGAAAAAAGGCAGAAGAGCAGTGACACTATTCAGCATCACCAATAAAGTGTCCAAACAAAGAGCATTCTCACAACATAAACAGAGATGGGCGAGGGCGTTGCCTTTTGCAAAACCATTACAATAGACCCCACGTAAAAAAGTTCTAAGTACTCTTTGGTTGGCACTTGAAAGCTTTTAAAATTTAAACCCCACAAGCATGATAAGCACCTCCAGAAACAGGCCTTCGAGGGGACTTTAGCACCCTACCATCAAACTACTTTAATTTTATCTAGAAAGCCTCATCATTATATCATTAAAACAGTTAGTTGCATTGGCAACCCACAAATTAATCTGCCATGTGAGGGCAAGCCATGCCTTCTACTATGGGATCTTACCCAGTTAAAATGATTTTCTTCAGAATAATCCTATCTGGGTCAATACTTCTCAATGAACCAACGGCAGCAACAGCAGTTGAGGCAACTTCTCCATCTTTTTTCGGGGGCAATTAAATGCAGAGGAGGAAAAGAAATTGGAGCATATATTGAAGCCATGGAAAACCGTCCTTCATGAAGAAACCTCTCCATCTTGTGCTTGTCTGAGTTAATATTGTCAGAAGAAAATATTGGCCTGCATATTAACCAATAAATCTAAATACTTAGAAAGAGGTAATGGCTAGAAATGCCAAGTATTTTTGACCATAAGACTATTACCTTGTGACAAATTGGCAGAAACCAACATGAAATATGAATTCGTATTTGGCTTTTAAGGGAGCAGTGTCCATATCATGCTTCTTTATGCTGCAAAGACATGCACGATCCCCCATTGTAAAGCAAATTATGACAGGATTGTCCATGTGTGCAACAAATAAATATACACCTGAATACATTCCAGAAAACATATACAGCTAAATAAATAAATAAAAGGAGAAGAAAAGGAAAATATTACGGAAAGGCACCTGAAGTGAAGGACAGAAACCTTGGGACTCGTGTTGCAGGAGGCCGCATGTAGTTACAGGCATTGTCTTTGCAAGCTCACATAATTTGGAAACAACAGCATGTGGAAATTCCTTAATATGAATTCTTGCATAAGAGCCTGCCGGTATACATTCATCCATGCTCCCTTGCTCCATTTCTAGAGCTTTAGCAAGGACATGTTTCTGTGTTCTTGCGAAATTATCAAATGCAAAAATTCTGGCATATTCTAGAGGTAGAGATTCCTGAAATTGGCAAACAAAATGTCTAATGTTCTCACATTAGGGGACAACACAAAACAAACTCAACAAAAATTCATAATCATAGGAGTTACTTTTGGGTCCCATGACGAGGTTCTAAAAGACTTGAGGCCTCTATACTTGGCAAAACGCTTTCAAGCAGGAACATCTAACTGGGTGTCCACTTCATCGGGGTAATCTGAGATGCATTTAATCAATTAGATAACAAATAAACACATAAATAACCAAACTGCCGTCATAAAAAATCTCGTGTCATGTAAGGCAAACATCTTGACAATATATTATCTCAGTTGGAAAATACAGAAAAAGAAAACCCCAACACAACTCAGATATACAAGAGGCATTTATGGATGAAGTTTAAATTGTTTAATCGTTACCAAATCAAATCAAACGGGCATATATAGTTTAATTCTGTAAGCCCAATTTTCATTCCCTGTTCCAATATTTTTTTCATTTTCCTGATAGAAAGAATTCCATTGCCCAGAACCCATATCAAGTATTTCAGGTGGAAGTTTACTGTTGAATATCTATACCAGAACTATGGCAGAAATATATGAAATATGATGATTACAAGTGCTGGTGTGACAATTGGAAAAATCAGTGGGTAGAATCAAGCAGGCATTAGATGTTGCACAATATGCATTCAAGCAATGCAACATGGCAGTCCCACATTAACTCCTAATCCATTGGCTCTCATTTACACTCCAACATTGGGACAGAGTGATTATTAAACAGCAGAAATTATCTCTTTACTTGATACTTGTCCTATACAAATGGAGTTGCCCACTCACCTACGCTATGTACGAAATTTTCACCAACATTTGACATGTCGAACACTTACTTACAAAATACCCTATCCACCCATTTAACAAATTTGTTTGAGCAACTGAAAGATCCAATTATATCAAATCTACATTGTGAAAATAAAGGGGCATTGTATATATATCTTAATCTTTGTTCAAATGGTGTGAAGCAAATGCAATCCAGTACTACATAAGTCAATAGCATAAGCTCACTGCTAATGGCTCCAGAAGAACAAAGATTAGCCATCTGAAAAGAGAAGCACCTTCATCTTTAGCATGCTCATCTTTGATTTTTCGAATCTCATCCTCTATCTGCTCCTTTGTCATTTTATCACCCTCCTGGAAATGAATACAGTACAGTTCACATCACTATAATCCAGAAAAAAGTTAACTCACCATACAATACATTTAGGATGGGTCTTGTGAAAGCCTGGAAAAGACAAAGATTATATCTCTTTAAGATGACTAATACACGAATATTTGCTAATCTTCTCTTAAACCTGACACATGAAAATTACCATGCAATATGCATTACCCTATAGCAAGAATTAAATATGAAACATTTGTCTGTCAGTTATACTAATCACAAAGTTGCAACTATCTAGTTGTCCTATATAACATATTCAACCACCTACCTTCCTCTTCCCAGAACAGCCGACCTACTTTCTTTTCAACCAAGGCTTACTCATCAAATTCAAGATGGATGGTTTGATAACTGAACGTTTTCACAACGATTTACTTGATAAGTCCAAGTTCTTATCAAAAGTTACAACCCCCTCCCTTTCCCCAAGGCTCACACACACACAAAAACTAACACACGTGTGCAACAGCCCGCATAATCACCAGGTGTCACAATATGATGCACAACCATGAAGCCCAAAAAAAGCATTGAATTGATAACTGACAAAGGTAGCAGCACACTACTACATTGATTGACTTGGGGATTACCCTTAGGTATGTATAATGTATCTCTATAATCATGGGTGCAGCTTTTGTTTTCTTTCATAAAAGTAAGAGAGAATCCAAAAATTACAGAAGATAAAAGCCAACTATCCTGGTTAAACAACAACAATTAAGGACTCCAAAGTCCGGACAAGCAGATGACCACTGAGAATTTGTAAACAATGGTTCGGTCCTGTCATAATAAAGGTCATTACCCAGTTTGCTCCACATTAATGTTACAACTTTTGGACCACCAAATGAGAATGCAAGTGTAACATAATTTGTAAAGCTCATTCCAATCACAATTTGTTGGGGTAGAAGTGTTCTCTTGTAATTCTGGGTAGAATGCCAAAAGCTTTTGTGCAATCAACATTTTTAAATCACAACCAAATTTCTCTTCAAGGATGCAGGGATTTTCAAAACCAGAAAATGCAACAAATTAGCTGTGCAACCTAATAATAGAAGCATTCAATTTCTGATGTGTGTACCAGATACTCACCATCATCACAGACTCAACTTCAGTTTCTTCATCTGATTCCCTGTTGAGTATAAGAGACGCTTGGTCATCAACAAGATCCAACTCAAAATTGCCTTCTTGGCCCGGATTACCACTCTCTCTGGAATCCAGTACCATACCAACATCATCTGCATCATCATCACCATAAGAATCATCCATGTCTGAATCATCCACAATCCAAGCAGCCTGAAAAATTCAAGTTTATGTATATATTACAATCAAGTTTGCACTTTTTCGAGTATCAAGGATACACAAAGACCAAAGAACATAAAGAAAGACTTGAACATAAACAAACACAGACCTGGTATTCAGAAGTGCCGCAGGGAAGAGTCCTCTTTTTCAGCTTTTTCTCTTTGTGAATTCTATCGGCTTCTGCCATTTCTGCCTCTGTTGGCCATGTCTGGTGAACAAGAAAATTGCCATAAATAACAACAGAAGTAGAGAAACAATTCTTCCAAGTGAAAATGCATTTTGTGACAGATGATTTATTGTTGTGAGATACTGTAACTAAGATTAATTTCATAAGAGACCATCATGAGGTGAAACCAGATCATGCAAAACACATAATCAAGTGTGCATGTAGACCAAGAATATCTTCGCCATTAGAATTATGACAAAGGCAACAGTTCAAAAATCCAAATAAACCCAATACGCCAGTAAACCACAAAGTCTAAAATTTTAAGTCAGCAAGCTGCAAGCCAAAACAGCAATACAGAACCCAACTTTGACATTTCCTTCAAGTTACCTGGTCTCCTGCCAGAGGATCGGGAACATTTTCAATAAGCAAAGGTTCTTGCTTCAAAGGATCAGGGTTTAGGGCAGTGATGACCTGCAATATTTTAGAAGAGACAGCATAATGCTTACATGCAGAAATAACAATGCTGGCAATAAATAACATAGGCTAATGTGCAAAATACAGTGTCCTGGTCATTAAAGTGGGATTCAAGTCCAGGGTTCCAATCACGGAAGGCAAGCCATCTAAAAAGTAATTAGTCTTGTTACTTTCTTAATAATACCTGAGGAAGTAAAAACCGAATGTAACTAGGGAGTAAAATTTTCAAGGGAAAGCAAAGCACAGACAATTCATCATATTCACCTCACACCACAGGGAATTTCAGTATTTGCGTACAGCTAGAGTAATTGGACCCAATATTCAGGAAACTCCTCAAAACTTTGCTAGGACAGCATCAATTACAATCCACATAATGATAGGATAAGATCTTGTGAACTAATATTTCTGATTTTTTTCTCTTTCTTTTCTTTTTTTTTTTTTTTTGGGGGGGGGGGGGGGG